GCACAAAACTCTTTGTTCTTAATGCAAGCTATTTGGTTTTCATTCCCATACATTGAAAAATAAAGGAACAGATTCAATGACAATAGCTGCCTTTTGTTGTCCACATACAATGGGCCAGGCATAAAATACTGATATTTTTCAAGCATCTTTTCTAATGTTCATCATAACAGTGTAAAGTAGATGATATTATTCCCATTTTACAGTTGGGAAAATCGAGGTTCAAGCAGTTAAATGACTGGCGCAAAGCTATATAGCAGTAAGTGGCAGAGTTAAGAATCAAAATGATCCTTCCTCACATAACCCTGTAAAATGGTCAATAGCTTGGTTCTTAGGTTTTCAAATCTAAGGCCACACAGCAATCAGATGTAGAATAAACTACATAGATTTGTATGTTTATATGATTATTTTTCCTTTTACATTTCCGTTAGCAGCAGCTAACCCTGCCTTGACTGCAAGCTCTCCATAGGAAACTATGATAGCATCTTATTTTGCTTCATATTCTCAGGACCTTCCAACAGCGGTCAACAGAGAATGGATGGAGGAGTGAAAGAAATGGAACAGGGAAGGGCAATGAAAAGCAGAAATTAAGTCTTCTGACTCAGATGGAGGGCTTACTAACTGCCAGGCACCATCCTAAATGACACATGTGAATTCATTCACTTAATCCTCACACCCATATAATATGGCTGACATTATTGTCTCTTCTTTACCCAGAGGCAGTTGAAGTGTGGGGCTAAAAAAAATGCACTGATTGTAGTGACAGAGTCAAGAGTGGAGTCCAGGTGGTTTGGCTCCTAAGTCTATGGTCTTAAGCACTGTGTCACACTCCCTCCCATCTCTGGGTCTGCGGAATGAAAGTAGCACTTGCCACAGGGTACACACAGCTCCATCCTCAGGCCTTTGTGAATACTGGAAGTTTGGACTCGACATATCAAACACTGACATACATACAAAAATGGGCACCATGGCTCAGCAGTTAAGCATCTGACCCTTGATTTCGGCTCAGGTCTTAACCTTACGTTTCTTGAGTTTAAGCCCCACATTGGGCTCTGCACTGACAGCATGAGCCTGCTCGGGATTCTCTGTCTCCCTCTCTCTCTGCCCCTCCCCCACTCATGCTCTAGTGCTCTCTAAATAAATAAATAAGTAAACATTAAAAAATAAAAATGGGCTAAATTCTATTCTTTCTTTACTCAAAGTTATAGTCTTATAAACTACTTGTTTTAAACTAATCTTGCATTATGTGTGTTACTTTGGTTGTTTTTAATTTTTTTTCTCATGGGTTCCCTTACCTAGGATTTGTGTGTGCCACAGTTCAATGGTTCTGCCAGAGCAGAATAGAGGTTGACTGAAATACAGGTAATACAGGTAAGGAAGAATTTCAGGGCATCATGAGCTGAGTCTAGATCCAGATTTAGATTTCATAACAAGGTTTCTAAGACAAGGCAATGGATCCACCACTCTAGTAGAGAGAATACAATAAATCCAGGATAAGTGGTACCCAAGAGCAAAGCAGGAAAGGTGCAAGGCTATTTGGTAGGTGGGAGGAGCAAGGAACATCCACATTTGAGCCAAGTCTGATCATCAGGCTGGGATGACTAAGAGACAGGCTATTAATTCCTGGAAATGGGTCACAATAAGACAAAGTAGAAAGAACCAAAGTAGAAGCCCAGTCCTAGAACTTGATGTCCACAGGGTCAAGAGGAATGGGACAGGGACACCTTAGTGGCTCACTAGGTTAAGCATCCAACTTGGGATCAGGTCACGATCTCACAGTTCGTGGGTTCAAGCCCTGCATCGGGCTCTGTGCTGACAGCTCAGAGCCTGGAGCCTGCTTCGGATTCTGTGTCTCCCTCTCTTCTCTCTGCCCCTCCCCTGCTCATGCTCTGTCTCTGTCTCAAAAAGAAATAAATATTAAAAAAATCTTTTTTAAAAAGAGGAGTGGGGCAGAGTGGGCAACAAGGCTGTTGGACCAGATCTAGCTGGTGGCAGAGAAAGCCTAAGGGTTAAGACAGAAGCCTGAGAGCCAGGTCTTAAAGGTGAGTTCTGGTCACTCAGAGGGTAAATACTCTTTGGCCCTACATGCTATAGAGAAGAGGCAACATATATTTTGCCAGTCTCCAACTTAGATTGGCATAAAAACTGGGTGATGCTAAGCCTTAAGGGGAAGTGATCAAACTCCATCAGTGGGGAAGGCAGAGGAAATGAAGCAGTGACAGGTATGGGAGTACCTAATGTAGTCTATATTTACAACAGCATTCAGTTTAATCAAGCACAAGATATAATAATGATATGAATATATGCACACATATGAACACACTCATCTGCACCTGTGTATACATGTGTGTATACCACAAAACTCAAGGGAAAAGGGAAAATGACAAGGGCCTTGAGGATGCTATTCTCTGGCAAGACTCAGTCTCTTCTCTCACCCCTCTCCTGGCTTACCTGCTCCTACTCTTTTGTTGAAGGGCCATGTGCTTCTGTGCCACTTGGCTCTGCCCCATATTTTTCTCTCTGTCCTATATTCAACAGAGTGAGCATGAATATTAATCAGGTAATTTCTGGTAATTAGTTTTCTCAGCACAGTGTTCACTCTCTTTTGGTTTTGATGGGTCAGTAAAGTGGCAAATTATGCTCGTCATAATATAAATGACCCTGCCAAGAGGAATCAATCCAGAAAAACCTGTTGTTACCATAAAATAGCAGGCTTCTTTTTGAAAAGTTTAGCATTTGCTAGAAGAGGACTGACTGAGTGACCGACTTCCAAGGTCAATGATGAGAAGTCACCAAAAATAGCACAAGCACAAATGTTGCAAAAAATTCCAATAATGAGAAAGCTTATTTGGAAAGCTTATTTGGGGTGTCTCAGCATTGAAACAGTATATGGAAATTGATCACTAGTTTAGCTTTAATTTTTAAGATCACCCTCACGCACGCGCGCTCTCTCTCTCTCTCTCTCTCTTCTTGCTTTCCTCTTTCTTCTCATTTTATGCATAAAAATGCAACCAGGCTGAACTAACGCAAATTGGTTTAATTCCCTGGAGGGAGCATGAACAAATTTTCCCAGCAACTTTCTACCAGAGGCATTTGTGTATGGGTATGTGGATGGAATGTGGAAGCAGTCAGCTACATAAACCAGTAATCAAATGAAACATTACTCATTTCAAAGTGCCCTATAACAGCATGAATATCACCAATTAAAACACTGGGCATGGGAGAAAGGAAAATGGTCCCCTCAAAGAAAGAGAAAGAAAGAAGTAAGTATGTATGTGGGATGTATGGCAGGGGGTGGAGGTGTTAAGGCGGGAAGAATAAAATCTAAGGGGAATTAATTTCCTTTTAAAGGCAAATCTGTCACAGGAGTGGTAGTAGGAGGTCTCTTTGATGGGATAGAAGAAAGGGGTAGAGAATACATTCATTAACTTCATCAAATTGAAATTTCAGCAGTTTACCTAAATTGCCCAACCATTACACACTTACAAAGCATTTGAATGTGCCCACTTTGAGCCTGTTCTAAAATAACAGGTAAATAGCACATGATAAGTAAGAAACACTAAGGGGTCTTTTATCTCTTATAGCTGAGGCTCCTATTGAAACAATGGCCCTTCAAGGATCACCAACTAGTATGCTCCTTCATTCATCAAACACGTGTTCAACAAACGCTGGGCACTTTGTTCAGCCCTTGATGTTGGGGATACAGAAGATATTTTTGAAGATTGCAAAGAGCCCCCATGCCAGACTCAGAAGCTAGCATGCCTTCTATTTTGTAATGTAACTGGCTCCAGGATCAGCCCCACCATTGTCATATCTGTATGACTTCAGTAGTACTAGTGTTTCCCTTCAAAATGGTTTCTATTACCCCGTGGATGCTGCTTCTGCCCACAACCTGGAATGGAGGAGGCCAGCAGACTTCCCACAGAGGATCTTCCCATCACACAGCGCTCACTCAGCCCGAACGGCTAGTGAGGACCATGCACTTGCTCTCTTTCATTATATTCCCTCCAAATGATCTTCCTGAAAATCTAACCAAGGGCATGAAAGAGGGAAGAATATCAGCAGACCCTGAGACTGGCCCACCTTTGAGTCTCATCACAGCTCTGCCCCTCTCCTGCTCAGCTGCAGAGCCCAACTACCACAGCTCCTGGGTAGGACAATCCAAGCCCATCCTTCTGGCCCGTCTGCCTTTTCAGTTTTGCCCACCACTGCACACCCTGCCTTAGGTTCAGAGCACATCGGATACTCTGTCTCCTCCGGCAGACAGACTTAGGACCCTGCCCTTCGTCTTTGCTTCCACCATTATCCCTTCTCCCATTCCTGCATTTATTTACTTGTTTCTTATTCCTACACTTAAAAAAATTCTTTATACATTTACTTCTTTACTTATACTCATGATTATAATCGCTATTGAAAAAATGGTCCGGTATAAGCAACAAATTAAATTATATTAAGACCACTCCAACCTCCAGAAACTATTATAATCTTAAGAATATCAACTGGTTCTTAATTTAGACACATAAAGCTACTAAAGTAAGAGTAAATGAAAATGCCATCATCTTTTTTGCATGTCCAAGTTTGTTCCTTATGACGTCACTTTCTTATTTCCGTTTCTCCCTCTCTCTTCAGGTAGAAATAAAGTTTTGAAAAAATATAGATGTATTTCTTCCTTCATTTCCATTTAAGCACTGTGTTATTTTCACTACGAAGGAATCTCACTTACAACATAATGACAATCCTGAACTGAATAAGGCACTGTTCCAGTGCCCCCAGGCGTGTGCAGGAGGACTTAGAGAAATCTTACCACACACACACACACACACACACACACACACACACACACATCACGAAGGCACTAATAAGGTTATAAAAACAACACGTGTCATCTCTCATTCACTGTTCTCAGTCCATCAGAAGTCTCTCTCAGAGTTTCTTCTCATGCTTGAAAAGCTGCTCACAGCTCCTGGTGGCCCCAGATCGCCTGGGGCCCAGCCAGTGATTACCTGCACAGGAGTGGCGGTCTTGGTAGAAGCCATCCCCGCAGATGGACACGCACTGGCCATGCTGCATCAGCAGAGGAGGCTGGCAGGACGAACATTCCATTCCGCTGGTACACGTGGAGCACTGAGGCTGGCAGGCTGGCTCCAGACAGGGGTGGGAGGAAGAAAAAGGGAAGCTGTGATTAGCTTAAAGACACCAGCCCTGTGCCAATTCTTCCATAGCCCAATTCTGAGGCTCTGTACCAAGAACAAGAAAGGCAGGAAAATTACTCTACAGCCTTCAGTTGTATACTGAAGTTACATACTTCATGCCAGGCACTGCACAAAATCCTTTTTTATATGTATCTTTACAACAACCCCATAGAGTGGTTAACTCCAATTTTTCTCATGAGGAACAAGCTTCTAGAGGTTAAGTAACTTGCCCAAGGTGACATGAAGCCTGCATTTGAAGGCAGGAAGTTTGGCTCCTGAGTCTGTGCTCTTCTTATCCAATAACCCCCACTATCTTTCTCACTCAACCATTTCACAAGAATATCCCTTGTCTCTTTTCTTCTACAACCCATGGCAGAGACAGAAATGACTTTCAAAAAGTCTAAAGATTAGGAGTCAGGAAAGAAAATAGGGAGAAGTAAATAATTACCTTTCTTGAGGCTTGACAATATCCTAGAAACTATTCTAGGCACTTCATGTGTATTAACACACTTAATTCTCACAAAAACCCTCTGAGGAAGGTACTAGCTAGTACTACCCCACTTTATAGGTAAGAATACTGAGGCACAGAGAGGTTAAATACTCACAGCCAGGATATAAACCTATACACTTTTAAATGGATAATTAACTCTATGAGTTAGAGAGAGGGAAAAAAGCAACTATGATTTGGCCTCAGACAAGCCAAAATTCTGCCAGGTAAGATGTCCTCAGATGCATAAGAACTCTGAAAAGACACAAGAACCCACTCTGGATCCCGCCGGTAACCCACAAGAGATGAGTTCCATTACCGATTATATCTGTTTGACATTAAACAAGCTAGTTAATTTCTCTGCCCACAAGTTCTTCATTTGCAAAATGAGAAAGTTCTAGTAAGTGATCTTGAATGTCTATGTCATTAATCCAGAGTTAATTAATCCAAAGTTCAATCTTGGATTAACTGAGTATTGTAATAAATGACATGAAGGATTCTGGCAATATTACTATCTTTGAAAGTCTTCAAAAAATGAAAAATCCAATCACAGTTACCTAGTAACATCAGACCTCCACATCATCTATCCCCCAGTAAGTGTCAAAACACCTGTAAAATGTTAGAAGAGACTTGCAGGTAGAGATGCCAAGTAACCTATGCATGACATCACTACCTTCTAATGGTTTTTGGAAGTTGTGCATTTCTTGAGTGTAACGCTCCCTGACAACTGTGAGCCTCAGTCCACCTCTAGCCTGTCTGCCCAGAGCCATACCTAAACAGAGAGCACCAGCCTGGTAAAATCCCAGACCACAGCTGTGTACACACTGTCCATTCCTCAGCAACTTTGTGGGGTCCTGGCAGAGGTCACAGTGCTCTGGAGATTGAGAGCAGGTCAAGCAATCTGGGTGGCAATGAACTACAATCAAGGACAAAGAAGAGGAGAATTTGACAATGATCATAGTATTTCTCTTACATTCTTCCAAAAAAGAATCTACAGAGTGTATGAAGCTCTCTGGAATAAGAAGAACAGAAAACTCTGGAACTTAGGTATGAAAAAGACCCCCAAATAGCAAAAACAATTTCAATACAAGATTTCAAAGAACCTCTCCTTGTCTAAAATATTATTACTGTCTCTGGTAGCTCCACGTTGAAGACACTAAAAACGTTACAGGACAGCCCTATTAATGCTTCTACCTGCTGGAATGCCTCTACAAACAGGAACTATCAGCCTCATAATATATGATTTAAATGAACTCAATAATTTATTATTTCTCAGATGTTCTTCTTAAGCTTTGGCATGTACAGAAAGTTAAGACAAAACACAATTTTTAAAAAGTTGTTCAAAAAATACAGCCAGCTTTCTTCTTTTTCTCCAAAATTCAAATCTCATTCGCAACAATTGGGATTATCATTGAATTCAGTGGCAATTGTCAGCAAAGGAGTTTTTTCAGGTTTTAAAGTTGTCAGGGACCTGATTTTCAAGGTAGAGTACATTATAATATGCTAAATATTTGTTTAGAAAAGCCTAGGGAGCCACTTTGGTGAAGGTAACATAATTAAACCATAAAGTTGCTTTGCTTTTCCCCTGATAAACTCTTCACAGAAACCCTGTGATTAGCCAAAAATAAGTTGAGTGCAATAAAAGCGACTGCCAATATGAAAAATTGCGACCCACAGATGAAAACAATTAATTATGAAATATGAATGGAAGAAAATGCCACTTCTCCAAGAGAGACTAAGCTTATAGGCAAATTACTGCACAGCCAGAGCAACTCCAATGCTTGCCAACTATTATTAACTGGAACTAATTCAACCCCAGGTGATTTGAAAGCAGAGTTGCAGAACAAGTAGATAAAATTTTCTTTTGGAAGAAATTAATGAGTCTTTAAACTTCAAAACCCATTTGAGAACTCCGAAAGGAACCATCTGTTTAACAGCTCACCTTAAGAAGAAGAAAAAAAAAAAAAGGACACCTGTAACAAACTTTCAGCAATTGTTCTTACATCTTCAACAATGAACAGTCCTAACATATACATTTGCCTTTATAAGTTTCCAAACTTTAGGTTTTTAATATCCATAATAATTTTGCAAGGCAGATAAGTCACATCTTATTAATGAGAAAATTAAGATCTAAAAAGGGTTAATGACTCGCCCAAGATTACCTACCCATAATCTGTTGAGTTTGGCAAATACAAGGGCAAAGATTAAGCAATATCATTTGTTAGAAAAAATTAGCAAGAAACCAACCAACCAAACCAGTAGGTGACTTAAAAAAAAAAAAAGCAAAGGGGGTGGGGTAAAAGATCTCTTTGAATTTTTGATGGTAAAAATATCTCAGAAGACATAAGTCAGACATGCACCCACCTGATGTGCAATCTGGACAGCATTGTCCCTTCACCACTTGGGCTAGTGTGGCCACTGGACATGGTGGACAAGAGGGCTCGTAGCAAGTTACCCGAGAGCCCTGGCACTCACACACTTTGCAAGGGCCATCCTCCCACTTCTCCCCATCCTACATGAAACAGTAAAGAATGACAACAAAATTGCAAAGATTCAGAAGACAATTTGCTGGTGGAGAAACTCAGTTTCTGTAAGGGACAAAATGAAAGTTCTGCCCAGTACCATGCAAATCTAACTCTGAAATAGGTCAGTCATTGAAGAATTTAAATTCAAAAGGATAATAGTTCTCCTTCTTTGTTTATAATTGATTTATTTTAATGTAGAACCCAGGCAGAAAAATAAACTGAGAACACATTCTGGGGCTTCTGAAATAAGCAAGAAGTATATAACACTTGTTTCTCAGCCTATCTCACCAAAAAACACCAGAGGGGATTACTATGTACCTATAATTAGCAAGTACATTACATGCATCTTTATAATTACAATGGGAAGCTGGTTAAAGCCTTGAATTTCCTTATGGTTACTCCAGTAAGAATAATAGTAGAGTCATTATATTCTTAAAATCACAGCTCTTGCATGACCATTTTTAGTGGGCTGCAGATGTGCCATGGGCTTTCTCACACTAAAATACTCTTTTTGGCAAATTATGGTAATAAACATTAATATTTTGATGGAGAATTCAAAGTGAATGATAAAGAACAATTCCTTTTTACTCACTATCCGACTCACCCTGAAGATAGGAAAAAGACAAGAGTTCCTACCAGAATGTTTTAGGGTGATGAAAGAGGTAAAACAGGAGAGAATAGAAGATAATAATATATATATTATAATAATAGAATAGAAAATAATTATATAATATAATATTATATTATAATATAAATATGTGATAAAATATTTATTAAACCAATTGATGTTGAACATTCCAAACAATTAATGTGGCTATAGTTAGCAAAAATGAATGACACAATGTTAGAAAAATCAGGAATATTATCTTGAGAAGGCAGAAGTGCTTTTCTTCCATTTCAAGGCAGACTGGATTCCTGGCCACCTTATTCTATAGCCTCCAAAATTACAAGCTTGCTTCTGTGAACAAATGTGCTTGCACTTTACCTTAAAAAGGAACCATACCATGTTATCCTGTAAACAATCTTGAAAGAACGAACAATCAGTTTTGTTTTGGGGAACTAACACTTCCAAACCCCAAAAGTTCTCCATGCTTTGAAGAACATGAAATTGCATGGATGGTTAAACTAACTTCTCTAGGCCAGAAAAAATCAGAAGGAGGAAATCGTCACAAGAAAGGGAAAGATATGTTTAGGAGTTTATATTTAGGGAAGTATTAATTATCGATTGTGAGGGAAAATATGGTAAATAAAGGAGAAAAGTTCAATGAATCAAAGTGTTAGTTATCATTAAGATTCTTAACCTAAAACAATGGCACCAACAAACATGACTATTAAAAAATACTATGGCATTAAGGTTCCCCAGGACAGTTTATGCAGATAATGCTTAAAACAATTCTACCAATATAGTTTAAAAATCTATACTTACTGGAATACGTTTAACTTCACTTGCATTTGAGGACATCTATGAACAAAGAGAAATGTATTAATTATACTTCTAAAAACACCATTAGGCTGATCTATTTATTTTCTCATTTAAGAGTTATCTATTTTTGCCAAGTATCATGCAACGTCATTCATTTGTTTTAGAAAAAAAATCTATATATATAAAAAACAAGAAAAGCATATGAGGTGAAGACAACATGCCTCAGAAATATTTTTGAATTCTGATTCTCCCTTTGTGCTTGAGCACATAGGCTCCAATTCCCTTCAACATGAAGGACTTCACTGTCAGGAGTTCTAAGCCTGTGGGGGCAAACTCTTCAGTCTTGAGCGGTACCACAGCACTATGGGGATTTAGACTCATTTAAAGCAACTTGCTCTTCTTTAACTCTTCCAGGCTTAATTTACCTTCAAAAATGGGTAGGAAAATTGATACTATGGTTGAGAAAATAGAAATCCATCATTTATAGGCAGCCTTTAATCTAAATTCTTAAGAAACAAGCACTAAATTATGAAATACCATAATGAAACAAACAATGCCAACAGCATTAAAACAATGATGCCATTTCTTTAGCTTTTTTTTTTTTTTTAATGTGCCAGGCTCTGTTCTAAGTATTTTATAGGTATTATCTCAACAGCCCCATAAGGTAAGTACTATTGTTATCCCTTCTTCACGGATGAGGATTAAGTAACTTGTCCAGGGTTATAGTCAGCTAGTATGTGGCAAAGTAGATATTTGAATTTATAGCCTGAAAGGTTAACCCTACACAGTACTCTCTCTCCAGCATATGCAGGTTGACAGATGCAATATTCTCAAATTATGAAGAAAAAGTAGGTAGGAATCAAAGTACTTAATCCCAATTCATATCATTTTATTCTGATTGGTCACTAAAGCAGTTGTCTTTATGATCAACTGGCCCATTTTTTAGAACACAATTTGTCAACATTCCAAAATCCCATGTGGAAGATGTAGGCTATACAAATAGAGAAAATTTGAAGAAATTAAGATAAATATTTTTTTTCCTTTGGGCATATAATTTTTAAAAGTACAGACTTAGAAATAAAACCTTAGCAAATGGAATTTCATCCCACATCCAATCCATCAAAATCCTTTTAGTCCTACCTGTAAAATAAATCTAGAGCCTTCCTCCTGAGACCAAAACACCATCACCACTTCTGAACTATTGCAAAAACCTTCCAACCAGACCACCTACTGCCAGTCTCACCCCCTTTCATCACTTGCTTACAAAGCAGCCAAAGTAACCCCTTCACAAGTAAGCCAGATCACAGCATGGTTACTCAAAGCTCCTACAGCTCCCGTCTGTGTCACGTTAAAACACATGTTTACCATGGCGTCCAGGCTACCTAGTGGACTTCGTCGCCAAATCCTTTTCCCCTCATTCTCTTGGTTCTAACCATATTCACTTTCTTGCTATTTCTTGAGCAAACCAAGCACACTTCTGCTTCAGTCCTCCTCATTTGCTGACTCCTCTTCTTAGTACATTTTCTCTTCCCAGGTATCCATTGTGGCTTGCACTCTTACTTCCTTTAGGTTTTGCTCAAATTTCTCTGCGTGACAGACTTCCCTGGTCATACACTAACCTTCCGGAAAAATGCACCTCCCTCCCCTCAGCTACTAGCAGTCTTTTGTCTGTCCCACATGTACCCACTAGAGCATAAGCTCCTCACCAAGAGCAGTGACTCTTCCTGCTATTTGATTCTGTGTCTCTAGGACCTGGCACAGAGTAGGTGTATAATCACATTTGTTGAACAAATGAATGGGTAAAAGATATGAGAGGTAATCCCCCCTCATTAAACTAATTTTGAATTATTAATAGTCTTCAGTTATTAGTCTGATACTCACAAATTCTACATTTTCTTCATAGACACAATAACCATTCCTTGAAATACATTCAGGGCAGCATTTTCCATCTAAATGAATTAATTCTTCACCCTGTAGAAGGATTGCAGAGGCACATATCAAATTATCATCTCTAGGTAGCAGTGTTAAATTGCAAAACAGCTGGATTCCCTGACTGGAATGAAAAACCTTAGCACATTCTTTGTTTCAGCCCACTACTTATTCCATCTCCGCCTGTTATCTTCCTATGGAAAATCTAGGCAATGCAGCTCACCCCTCCAAGTGCTTTTTTATTCCAGTTCTGGAATGCTTGGGTACAGATCCTTCCATTGTTTCCCACCCCTGACCAGGATCTCCCATAAATAAGAATGGCCAAGATTTCAGCACCTGCGTGGCTTAGTTGGTTAGGCTTTCGATTCTTGATTCGGCTCAAGTCATAATCTCATGATTAGTGATATGGAGCCCCATATCAGGCTCTGTGCTTGGGATTCTCTCTCTCTCCCTTTCTCTTTGCCCCTCTCCGACTCATGTTCCTGTCTCTCTCTCTCTCTCTCAATCTCAAAAGAAATAAATATTAAAAAAAAAAAAAAGAATGGCCAAGATTAACTGTGGTAGTATTGGAAAGTTGTGAATTTCAGAAAAGGATCAGGCTCTAAAATATACAAGGCTTGAACCTGTGATTTGGTTTCATTAACAGTGCTCAAATCAAACCAACACTTTTCCTTGAATACAAAATCAGATACATCCCTTTATGCACAGATGTAGTCTCAGGCATAAATTAAACAATAGAAAACTAATTTTTATTCAGTATTCTGAAACTGTTATCCAACTCACATAATTACTATATTTTTAATTAATTAGAAGAGGAAGGAAAAAAGGTTACATCAAGAAGGTAGACTTTTAACTATCAAAGTCTTACCATTTTAACATCCCACTATTAATAATTTCATAATTTTTATTTTTATTATAAAATAACAAATCCTTACTAAAAAATTAAACAATTATAAATTCTATAACCTAGAAAGTATAATACCACTGCAATCTACCTTCCAGGGAATCTGCTGTTAAAGATATGATCTCTGTTTACAATTTTTCATATGTATACACTAACATCTAATACCTATAGGCTAAAGACTATTCTTTAAAGCACTTTCTACTTTTTAAAGATATATCTACTGTCCAAAGAATGGTGATGTTTCTTTAAATCATGACATAATTTAATTTGGGACCTACATTACATTTAAAGGGCAGAAACCATGTTAGGTAAAAACTGAATAACGTAAAATTGTGCAAAGAGAATAATCACAATGATATTTTATGTTTAAAAACACTGTGCACTACAAAATATACAAAATAAAAGCAGCGGTTGTCTTTGAATTGCAGCATTATCGATGGATTTTAAAGTCTCTTTTCTATTTTTCTTGAGTTGTCAATTTGTAAAATGAATATGTACTATTTTAATGAAGGAAAATATACATTTTTTAAAATAAATACAAAAATACGTGAAAGATTGTAACTTTTTATAGTGCCTCAAAACTGATTTCAAAAAGAAGGGAGTTGTATAGATCACTGTCCATCAAAATGTAATGCCCATCAGAGACCAATGCAGAGCAGTGGATGCTATAGTGAGCAGGCATATTTACATATAAATTGTTTTGCAGAAACGTGACAAATCAGCTAGCAGTACAAGCCTAACCCAGAAACAGTGAAATTTGCTTTCAAAGCATATAAAGGGGTTTATATGCATGTAATCTACGTTGCTTAAAACAATGTTTTAAAACGAGACAGAATATGTGTACTTCTATTAAAGACAAAATGCGTGAGGAATTCTTGAGTGCCCACTCCATAGTACAGGCAAAAGTGAAAATGGAGCCCGCGTCATCCCAGGAGGGCAAGGAAGGTAGCTGTTCTGAGTCTTCAAACACTACTGTAAATAACAGCAAGCCTTGCTGCTGGGGAACAAGGATTCAGCTTTGGTGAGGTAGGGAGTTCTAAATAGATTTGCTATTTATAGAAGAAGCCTGGATGCCCCAAACTGCGGCAGTTCACTGCGGTGAAGAGCGGGCTCCAATTAGTCTTTCTCCAAAGACTTTTGCTTTGGGAAAAATTGCTTTGTGGAACAAAACTAATTCTTTTCTTTTCAAGAGGATTCTGCTGCCTAGGCCAGATGGAATCTGCTAACCCCTCCCTGCTGAATCACACCAACATCCATCCACCAGACAAAAGACTGTGTGACTCTACTCACTTGCCCATTGGAAAAGGAAATACTCTTTTAAGGGAATTTTCCTCCACTGGAGAAGGGACTTCTTTAAAAAAAAAGTAATTTGACTTCTTCATATGAATTCATGTTCAAGGGTAACACTAAATTAGAAAAAATGAGAATCATCATACTATGCTATTTTACTATTGATTTATTTGTGTTTCAATATCTAGGGATTTGGTTGGATACATCAAAAACAAAAGTCATGTCACTTTTTTCCCTTTTTTAACAAAGAAAAGCTGTGTGCTGATTTCCAACACTGTTGATAACCAGTGTGATCATTATTACAATGGTGAAGCTGCACAATTCTGTCTCTTCTTCTAGAAGTTTATTTTTCTGCATCTTTGTGGATGTACATATACTTAGACTTAATCTACCCTTGGGATCCAGGATTAGAAATCAAATGACCTTGGGGGCACCTGGGTGGCTTAGTCTGTTAAGCGTCCGACTTTCGCTTAGGTCATGATCTCGCGGTTCGTGGGTTCGAGCCCCGCGTCGGGCTCTGTGCTGACTGCCAGCTCAGAGCCTGGAGCCTATTTCATAGTCTGTGTCTCCCTCTCTCTCTGACCCTCCCCTGCTCACACTGTCTCTCTCTCTGTCTCCTAGAAATAAATAAAAATATTAAAAAAAAAAAAAAAGAAATCAAATGACCTTGGTAATGTTGAAAAGGCAAAAAATGGGGTAGAATTGAATAAAAATACCAATAGCACACTTTCACACTCCCCTCCTTTTCTCCAGATGCTCCTAATGCATTTAATTCATATTTCCATAATCATTGGTGCCACTGTATACTATGATTTCTGTTTATGTATCTGACTTCCCCAAAAGCCTGGAAACTCATTAGATTAGAATGTGACTTATTCCTCCTTTTATCTCCAAGCTAAGCAGAAGTTAGGAAGTTTGTACTCCAGGTGTTCACAAGGTCATTAACCAGTGCTATTTACAGAAGTCATGGCACAGAAAGAAGGCTACGGGATATTTCTGGTAAGATTCAACTTTAGTTAAAATTTCACTTCTGGTAGTGTTTCCAGTTTAGAACCCAGTGCCTTAAACCACATTTGGAAACACAGAGATCACTTGGAAGACACTAGTTTAGTTGACTAAAGACCTGGAGAAGTAAGATAAAGGCATTGGACCTCCATAGTTCATAGATGAGGGGCTGAGGGTGGGGTGGAAGTGAGAGAACTGGGAAGAGATGAGATCATGTTGTGGGGTGACAGAAGGCAGCCAAGGCCCTCTGCACTTACCTCAACGGCCACTCCCCATTTTTTCTAAGAAGAGCCAAGGCAATCTGGCATAGGGGGACACACATAGGTGTCATGGAGGATAGCAGGCACTTGGAAATGCATTAGCATTGGAGATAGTGGGTCAAATTATTTTCCATGATTGAGACTCTGTTCAGACTTAACTGGAAACAGGTGGCTACAGGACCCACCCAACAGAACCACCTCTCCCACATTTTCAAAAACACTGGGGCATTATTAGGCAAATTGAAACCTTAAAAAATAACCCTGCATCCTCCGAGCAGACTGCTGAGGCCTGGAAGCCCAGCCTCAGCCTGAGACAGAGGGAGAAAGAAAAGGGCTCTGACTAAGATTTTTCTCATCTTCATCCAACCATTCTGACTCCCCTGACATCAAGAAGGAAAAGAAATGAAAAGGCGGGCGGGGGGGTGGGGGGGAGGGAATAAATCTGCAAAAGCAAGACCCTCTTTACCTAAATATGTTTCAGCTCTGCCAAGACTTAGAAGTAGGAGGCAAAATGAAAAATCACCCTGTCATTGACAGTCGTATTTGAAAGGTTGTTCCTCCTCAGGCTCAGTGCTAAGAGGAGCTGAGATGTGGGGGAGAAGAACTAGAAAGAAAAATGCCTTCACAGACATCCAGTGCTTCAGATCTTCTGAGTTTCCCTCATCTACTCAAGTTCACAACCCTGCGGGAAATTGGTGGGGCGGATGGGAGCGGTGAGGGAGAAGGAGACAACTTTAAAAGCAATTTGTTTTGCAATGGGTCAAAACTGAGTTCAAAGAGGAAAAAAAAAAGCAATTTCCCTACAATATACATCTATAGTCCAAACAGAACCTGCTTTGTTAGAAGCTTCTAGAAATTCTGCAGACCGCAAAAGTCAACAGAGGTCAACTGAGTTAATTATTTATGAGGTTTGCCTCCCTCTCTTTAAAACAAAAACAAAAACAAAAACATTTCATTTTCTTTCCTGATCCACAGAAGCAGCTATAGGTGCTGGCTCTCCTTTCTTCTAAATGCTGCCAGTGGTCCCTGCAACAGAAGCCAGGCCACAGGGGCACCTACAGACCTCTGGTTCACAACCATAGCAAGCTGGGCAGGCCACCAGCCATGAGGTCCAGCTGCGCTAACTGATAGGTTAATGTTCCATATCATGTCCTTCTCTTTCATGTCTCTGGCTCAGGGCTTCCAATCTGACCAGATGCTCTGAGAACTAAAAACTCCAGGGGGCTGTTCCAAGCCAGTCTAAACAAATAATGACATTAATTTTATACCACAGAATCTTTGTGCAGGAAGGTTCTGTGAAATGTGAGTGGTCAACCTGGCTGTAGCCTTTGCTGCCAAAAAGTAAGGAACAGGTGAGGGGCCACCTATCTCATTGAAGAGAACGGTTACAGTCCAAATGTAAATGCCATTGCTTCTTACCAGGGCACACTCAACTTTGGCACACTCTCCAGTCTGGCAAGTCACTTGGCCACGGTCACACATGCAGAACTCGCAGGCTGAGCCCTTCCACATTTCATCCTGGTACCGCACAATCCCATTGTGTGAGCAGCTTCCCACAGGAGACACACATTCCTCACAGCATTCCCCATGGCGCTGAGTCCTTCTCTGACCCTGAAGAAACAAAGATGGCGGGTAAAGGATGGTGTTCTCGGCCTCTCCTACCCCGCTGAGGCAAGTTCCCCTTTACCTCAGTCTTCCTTTCTAGGAAGCAGATCTTTCAAATCTTTACTTAATAATATTTCGAAGCACAATAAAACTTTTGATTCCCTCAAAAGACAAGCTGGACTAAGAAATGCATTTCTTTAATGACCCAGAATAAAGTTTTAAAAGTCAAGCTACATTCTGTCCAATACCTTGTCACATCTTAGTGGGGGGCAGGCCTGTTTGTGACACCTGACCTCACCCTGGTCACATATACATGTGGTACAGGCATTTTCATTCCACTGCTCACCATGCTGAGGAAAGAAAGGACAAATTGGAAAATCAAATGTCACATATACCAAATAGAAACACAGGTGCATAAGACACACAATTTTTATTACAATTTTTAATTGAGCCACATTGAACATACTCCTGAGAATGATATCATTTAGGCAGCAACAGCCTCTAAGAAAAAGTCAATAACTGTCCAAAGGGAACTTTGCACTCATTTTTATTTAACACATTCCATAGATGTGTTGAGGACCTGCTCTATGCCAGGCCCAAAGAGGCTCCTGGAGCATCAAGGTTCATAAGAAGACCCTGTTTGCTGCCTAATCAGTGGCCATTCTATTGCTCCTCTTCTTTACCAGGAGACCCAATACCCACTGCCACATACTCACTTTCCCAGTTCCCCTTGCAGTTATACAAGGGCATTGTCCCAATCCTAACTGAGGAGACCTCTGAGGAAGTTTGCTAGAGTAGTGGAGGCCAAAGAAAGACTCTTCTCTCCCATAAAAGAAGAAAAGCCATCCCTTTTCCTCACCAGCTTTTAGTAATGATCATGTGTGGATGAGCTGCCTAAACTTGATGAAGTCATCTTGGGGACATGAGGGGACAAGACACAAAGCAAATGACAACATGCTATGGATGGCAGGTGGAAAGATCAGAAAAGAGCTCAAGGATAACTGGATGGCTCAGTCAGTTAGGCATCTGACTTCAGCTCAGGTCGTGATCTCACAGTTTCTGAGTTCAAGCCCCACATCAGGCTCTCTGCTTTCAGCATGGAGCCTGCTTGGGAACCTCTCTCACCCTCTCACTCTGTGCCTCCTCTGCTCATGCTCCCTCCCTCTCTCTCTCAAAAATAAACTTTTTTTTTAAAGAAAGAGTTTAGATCCTTGAAGACATCACTGAGACCTGAATTGATCAACCCTATAACTATTCTATCTCTACACTTCTTGTTATATGAAATTATTTTATGTTTTCATTTTAGCCACTTTTGGAGGAGTATTTCTGTTACTTGGAACCAAAAACATCACAATAGATATAAAGGCTATCTCTTCTAGGAGAAATTATCTGATACATATATGACTATTATATTGGACAACACAGATCTAGTACATACAAAAATCCTTTCCCAATTAGTTAGGTTCATTCAGACTTCAAGTGATGCATCTAGAATTTGTGACACTCATTCCCTAATATTCATTCAGTTCCAGATTCTCTACTGAGAGTCATACTTCCAATTTCTACTTAGTCTTCCATGGAGTGGCTGGCAAGCAAGGAAGTAGTTGGGTTGATTGTTTATATGTTCCTTGCTCTTGAATAATGTAAGCTTCTTTTGGCTCAGTAGGGCACTCCTAAGACAGAATATTCATTCACTCATTTAATTTGTTGAACTTATTTTTATTTGGCACCTACTACGTGTTAGGCACATTTATCTGGATTGTTCCAATAGTACTTTCAAGTGTGCAGGTTCCACCACCACTAGCTTCTCTCCTCCCTTCCCACTCTTCCCTACCACCTCCATGCTTCCCCCAGTGTAAGGCAGGCAGAACCTGTCTCTAGATATCAGTACATACAATCCAATCAAAGTAGATAGACATTCCAGGGCTTCGAACCTAAGTGTAAACTGAGAGTAACCAATGATAGTCCTTTTTTTTTCCCTTCGAGATGTGTAAACAGTAAGTTCACCAAGGTTTGTGAACCAGGTGCTGCCTGCCAGCACATTCCTTTATGTTTCTAATCCTCTTCAACTTAATTTTCATGAAGGCTTTCCACAAAGAGAAGAAAAAAGCTGTTTATGTACTGAATTACTAATCTTGGCAAAGACTCAGTCAGACAAGAAGGTGGGGAGGCATGGCGGTTGGGAGGGCGGAGGGCATACGTGTGAGAACATATGTCAAAACACCTACGGGGGACATTAAAGGTTACCTCGTACGCTTGGCCAGATGCAGAGCAGGATCGGGAAGAGCACTGTGGGCAACATTTTCCAGGAACTCGGATGACAGTTTCATCCTTACACACAAAAAAGGAATAATCCATCAAAAGGAGACATTAATAAAACCCACAACAGTAGGAAAATTTCATTCATAGCTAACTCAATCATGTGCCTCAAGCACCCATAAATAGTAATTTCCTCTCGTTTAGTATTTATTAGTCACCTGGTGCTTTAATAAGAATTAGCACTTACAAAGTCAGTGTGACTCTTAAAACGTTTACACATTCCTCAAGTCCTACCCTCTTTTCTAAGAGCAAACAAAAGCACAAATAATAACAATAACAATAATAATTATTTACTTATTGTACTTTAATTTACTTATTGTATTATTGTACTTAATGTTTTCCAGGCTGGCTCAGTCAGGTGTCTGACTTTAGCTCAGATCATGATCTCGCAGTTTGTGAGTTCAACAAACTCTACATCAGGCTCTCTGCTTTTAGCGTGGAGCCTGCTTGGGATCCTCTCTCACCCTCTTTCTCTGTGCCTCTTCTGTTCACGCTCCCTTTTTCTCTCTTTCTCAAAACTAAGTAAACATTTTTTTAAAGAACTTAGATTCTTGAAGATCATTTTAAGGCTTTACATGACCCTAAGAAGTAAGTGTTCTTTTCCTTGCTTTACAAACAAGAAAAGTAAAGACCAGAGAGATTATGTGACCTGTCCAAGGTCATGTAGCCAAGCTGGTAATGACAATGGTTGGAGTGAGACTTTAGAGCATGGAACCATACCAACACTTAAGAGTATTTACACTCCTCGTGAGTTACTGCTAAACCCAAAATGAAGGTATACCTCTACTGATAAGCTACTTCACCATCCTTTTGCATCTTTATGTGAATCCACACATTTACATATATGCACTAGAGGGTTCCTTAACATGAAAAAAAAATTGATCATTCATATCCCTAGATATTTGGGAATAAAGGCAGAAAAAAAAGTAGATGAGCTATTTGGGAATAAGGGCAGAAAAAAGTGGGTGACAGAGACTAATGCCCAAGAAACTGCTCCCTGCCTGCTCCCTACTTCTCACCTCTACCACCCTCACCCCCAGAATGTCAGACCATGTGTCTCTGCTGCCCTGCAAAGAATTTTCACAGGAACTGTTTCCTCATTGATACCAAAGAGTCAGCTGCTCACTTTGACTTATCAATACAACCTTTTGAATGACAGGAAAGTAGACAAATTAAAGGCAAGGAAGGAGGATTAGAACATACCAAGCCTTAAGGACTAAGAAATGGTTTGTCTTACATAGAAGATACTTCCTGAGCAGCTACCTTCACCTTCTCTTACAAGAAGCAGAAAAGAGCTTCATTTTTCTTGAACAGTTCCAGTCATACCTCAGTAGTTCTTTAACTCAACTATATATGATCAGTTACATTAATGCATTACTATCTAATAGGGATTTATTTCAAACAACTGAATCACTGGAATTAAGATGACAACTGTTTTCAATGCTTTAGGTCATTTTATTTCTTTATTCTTCTATATGAAAAATATTATGAACATTGATATTTAATAGAGTAGTGAAAATTGGGACACAATGCTGAAATCATCAAGCATTTCTGAACCTCAGAACTCTTCAGCTTAATTAAATTTTAGTGAGGAAGTAAAATAACGGTGTATTTGATGTCACACTATTCAGTAATTTTATTATAGTAAACAAGTGAATTTATATAATGCTTGATAAATAGGGAACAGATGTCATGATCACAAATCTTGAATCAGCACAGAGTTACTACCAGTGTATCTTAACCAACATGGGCTAGACCCAAGTATAGTAATAGCAGAGTCAACTCAAGAGCATGGGGGAAAGAATTCATTATAGTAAGGTTGGTACAAGGAAAATCAAACTTTCTAATTCTTACTGGCTATACCTAATTATATATTTTATTGACAGAAACAGAATCTTTAATCACCAATCCAGATCAACAAGGGCAGAAAGGTAAAGCATTTAAAGAGAAGATATCCCAGGTTATAAGAGAACTATCTGAAAGAGAGGTGGCAATTCACCTGGGCTGGTGCTTCATAAGCAAGACTAGACACACAAGTAAGAAAATGCACAGCAAAGTGGGTCAGAAAAATGGAAAAGATTTTTAACAGCACATTTTGTTGCTATCATTTATCTGTATCCTTTCATCCTGGGCTATGTAGATTTGTCCTTCCAAAAGTATAGGCTACACAGGAGCTGGCCAACTATGGACCATGGACCAAATCCAGCCTACCACCTGTTTCCATAAACTTTTATTGGAACACAGCCACGTCCACTCATTTGCATATTATCTATAGCTGTCTTTGTGTTACAATGGCAGATTTGAGTAGTTGTTTCAACCGAATGGCTCACAGAGTGAAAATATTCGTTATCTGGATCTTTACAGAAAAAGTTTGCCAACCCCAGGACTCATATAATACCCTAAGTAAACACAGAAATTGAATACAAAAAAAATTATGAATAATGTCATTACAATTTGGGGTAGGACTACCATTAAGGATATATTTAATTGTGGTTTTTCATAGTCCTTAAATAAAAGTATTTATGATAAAAATTTTATGGTGTATTATGGCTAACAGCTCTTGATGAAACATTTTCCCACTATGATATCTCTGTAGATGGATACAGAAAGAGATGAAAATTTCACCACCAAAAAGTAAAACAGCCAACCTCCTGCCACTGTTATGAGAAAGATCCATTGAGGAGCCTTTCTTTGCTGTGTAAACCTAAAGAGTTATAAGAACCACCATTTCTGCCTAACTCTCTGCCTTTCTATACCAAACACAACCCAGATTCATCCCTCCGGTGTGTGGCCACAACTGTTGGAAGCAGCCAGAATGCCAGTCCTCACCATCCTCAATATCTTTCTTGCTACATCTAATAAGAGCCCATAAAGTAAAAAAGATTTAAAAAAAAAAAGAGTGGGGAGTAGGTGTGTTGGGGGAGGCAGAGGGAGTGATAAAAAGTAGAGGGATAGTTGTCCTTCTCTGCCTGACTTATTTTGCTCAGCATAACAAGGGGGAGAAGAAGGGGAGAAATGGTGGGGGAAAGGGAGAGAGGCAAACCATGAGAGACTCTTGAATGCTGACAAAAACTGAGGACTGATGAATATGGGGGGGAGGGGGGGTGGGCATGGACGAGGGCACTTGTGGGGATGCGCACTGGGTGTTATGTGGAAACTAATTTGACCATAAACTATTTGTAAAAAAAATAATAATAATAAAAAATAAAATAAATAAACATTTAAAAAAATTTAAAAAATTAAAAAAAATAAAGTAGAGGGATAGGACAATGCCTCAAACAAAAAGCACTTGGTCACCAAGAGGGAGGAAGAGAGCCTTTGCAGCAGTGGAAACTGGGGATTATAGTTTTTTGTTTCACGTATTAAAAATGTAAGAGGGTTGAGCAGTGTAGGTAGAAAAAGATCCAATCTCAGTATAGTAGAGGTATGCTAAATGAAAACCCACCAATCCCTCAGACAAGGAGACACATTTCTTAGCATCTGGCTATGGAGCCAAAAAGGGGAGTTAGCCAGGGGCAGGCCACTTACCCTTGCATCTTTCAAGGCCACATACCCCTTGCAGTGGGTATGGACAGATTGCTCTTGGTCAAGGATGAGTAAATAGAAGGCAAGAAACTTGGGAAAAACCCTGAAGAGCCAGCAAAACTAACAATGTTCTGAAGATTCAGGGAAAGAGCAGACTTCTGAAAGCTATACCTACAAGATCTAAAAAAAAAACTTAAAAGCTATTTTGCAACTTCAGTAAGACGCAGGAAAATGCAGTCTTTATTAAATAAAAGCAAGCAATAAACTTTTTGTAAAAAAACTAAAAAAAATACACATGATGTATGTAAATGGGGAGAGAAAAAATAAATAAATAAATAAATAAATAAATAAATAAAAGCAGCAATAAAGAAAAAATAAGCATTAGGATAAAAAAACTAGATGAACTAATGAAGGGAAAATAAAGAAGAATTAAAAGAAAAGTACAGTAAAATCGTCAAATTAAAATCAATACTAGAAGTGGTAAATACAAACTCAAGAAGCTCTCTCCATATGAAGAAGAAAGACACAAAGTGAAAAATGATGAGAGAGAACATGATTGATAATAAGGGGGGTAGGGGAAAATCCAAGAGTAATCATAACTGTTTCTGGAGAAATGAGAATAATTGGAATTAATATGATTAAATCAAAGCCATAACTGGAGAAAGCATTTCAAAATCTAGAATATAGACTGAAAGGTCTTCATCATATTCTAGGCAATAAGGTGAAAAGACACCTCACTTAGGAATATCCTGAAAAATGTTTCAATTACAAAGATAAAGAAACATCTTGCAAGAATCCAACAAAGCAAAACTAGCTGAATACAATGAAATAGAAAACAGACCGACATCAGACTTTTCTGCCAGGGCACTAAATTTCAGGATTCAGTATAAAAGAGTCCACAAAATTGGGATGTGAAGAAATTATAATGGCCCATAATTTTTGACCCCTCTGATTATATCTAATGTATATGGGCAATAAAAAAATGATTTCCAGGGGCACCCTGGTGGCTCAGTCAATTAAGCATCTGACTTCAGCTCAGGTCATGATCTCGCAGTTTGTGAATTCGAGCCTCATGTTGAGCTCTGTGCTGACACCTCAGAGCCTGGAGCCTGCTTCAGATTCTGTGTCTCCCTCTCTCTCTGCCCATCCCCTGCTCATGCTCTGTCTCTCTCTCTCAAAAATAAACATCAAAAAATTTTTTAAATAATAATTTTCAAACACTTAATGGCTGAGAAGACACACAATCTTCTACCTTTCTTGAAAGAAGATCCAAAGATGAAGTTCAACCTACTCAGATTAATCAATATTGGGAATGGGAAAATTATAGTATTTTAAAAAATTGTTAGTTATATCATCAGGGAAAAACTCTCATCAGACTGAGCAGACTATTTTCATAAGCCTACAAAAATGTGGATGGGTCAGAGCTCTGTTCACAAGGCATCTGGACAAAAGTTGAAACCAAGCAATTTCAGTATAAATTTACATCC